TGAATTATCCAGTTGGATAAGTTTTCCTGCTATCTACCTGACAATCTCAGCTATTTGGGGAGTGTCTTTTTAAACACCGACCTCCATTGGGACCGTCCATTCTCCTTGTCTAGTGCATTTGATGGAGCTTTCTGTTATCCAAGTCATTACAGTTCACTACCTTACTGATAGGGAGGTTCTAATGCATTGGGGGATGTGGCTTCTATGGAAGAACTTCTACCTTTGGGTCTGGCACATTTGTGATGTTTTCAGGAGATGCTGCACGACCCATGGTCTCTTGCTAGGGTTCCTTTGGATTGTCCTCTTAACTTTCCTTTTTCCCTCTACAACTATATGCTTTGGTAGTTGAACATATCCCTCATGTCATCGGGTTTACTGATTCCTTCCCTTTGTCTGGATATGTTTCTCTTCCCCGATATTCATCTCCAAAGTTGGGGGGGGGGGCATGGGTTGATCAGCAGGAGGCTTCAGAACAATGGTCTTTGGATGAAAGGTCTCACCATGTTAACAACCTGGCACTCCTGGCAGTCAAATATGCTTTAGTCCACTTTCTTCCTCCTGTCCGGTATTGACTAATCATGTTTCATTTCAACTATTTGATGGTGGTGTCTTATATCACTCACCAAGGGGCACTCATTCTTGCTCCTTTTGTGGTAGACAGTGGATATTCTTTTTTGAACCCACACACTTGACATACATCTGCCTGCATGTTGTGTTCTAGGTGCTTTGTCCTTGTTACAGATTGCTTTTCCAGTCCCAACACACTTTCTCCTAAAGAGTGGCATCTCAATCCTCAAATTTTGGTGGGGTACTCCTCCATGGGAAGCATTTGACTCCTTTCTTGATTCCAAGTTACCTCTTTCGTTTTTGGTCTCTAGTTCATCATCCACTCGCCCTGGCTATTGATACATTCAGACAGAATTAGATCCAGTTTATGACTAGTTTTTTTCATTCCATCAGTCTTGTTACTAAAGTGATTTTGATCATCCATGTCACTCCGGGTCAGGTCTTTATAATTGATCCTTCCTGGCCAGCACAGATCTGGTTTTCTCGGCTGTTTCAGCTTGATATGTTCATTTTGATCTGGATAGATTTTACTAACTTACACTTTGGAGGTTCATGTGGAATATTCTTTTCATTATTTTCATTTCTTACCATCTTACACCTTTATTCTCGGTTGGATCCAGAAGACCTTCTCTGTCCCGTACATGCAGTGGGTTGCTTCATTGCTTTCAAGGCTTCTTCCCATTAACTCCATTTCCTGCAATTTCATTCCCTTGCACCACTCCTCTGTTTGTGATAATTTTTCCCTTCTTCTCTTATCCATTGGGTTCGGCTGGTGATTCAATTAGCCTTTTATTCCTTGTTTCCTTCTTTCTGTAATCAATTCCTGGTTTCTTCACTTTATTTAGGCACTTTAACATTTATGTACATCTCAACCCAATTGTCCATTGGAGGTACTTTATTTGTCGAGCAATGGGACTACACCTCATACATTCATCTCCCATTATCTGCTTTGGGGAGCTGTTTCTTCCTCGTCAGGGGACCGTCTTCCACCTGTCACCATCCTTCACTCTCCAGTGAGATTGTAACTAGATAAGTTTCTTTCTTTTTTTATATATATTATTTTTCGGGGGCCTGTCCCATGTTTTGATCAGGATCCCTCTGTGGTGAGTGGTGCCTGTTCAGGTATACTTCAGTCACTTAAAATTGTACTAAACCTCGCACTGTAAGGTCATGTTGACTTCACTTTCATAATTTCCATGCCCATAAAATGCACACTGTTCCTTACAATCATATAAACTAGAGATGGGGTGTTCCACAAGATCCCTCATAGCTTATTCCTTGCAATATCTTTGCTTCATAAATATGCCTGTTCTGGAAAGTACTAACCAATGGACTTCTAGGGTAAAGCAGAAGGGGATTGCTGCCCATCCCTACCAATCCTTAAATTGAATAAATCGGGTTTGGTCTGCTTTTCAAAATAGGTTGTCATGGTCACCCATTGCACTGTCTCCGAGGTGAACATTCCTCCAGACACCCCACTGCACACACACACCCACCCCCACCCCGCTCTTCTTTCAGGGAGGTAAGAGAGTCCTAACCACTTTCCAGTTCAAATTTGCTTGGGTGTTAAATCATGGAGATATCCTCCTGAATGTGAGATATACAATATAAACAATAAAGACTCCATTCAGTTGAGAGTAGGGTGGTAGTGTTCTGCTGGTGTAGATGACAAGATGTCCTCCAAATTCATGGATGTTGGTTCCCGGCAGTCGAGTTTTGGGTGCATATGACTTGCCATGTACAGTTTATTGTGCCTTAGCCACTTTACACCTTGGAGCACATCCCTTATTTTACCCACATTCTGTTCATCAGGGAGATTTAAATTATAATAGATGGTGGTTAGAATCAATGTCCAACTGTTTTCTTTCCCATTGGGAGGTACTCCTCACAATTTTTCTCTGGAATTTGTCACTCCTTTTCCACATCTAGGGTCCCCTTGTTAGGGTGTCCTTTGGATGCTTCTGTTTTTCCCTCACACCGGTCCCTTCATCTATTCAATGTGGGTTTCTAGCTATGTATGTGAGTAGAAGTAAGGTACATTGTCGAATGTTATAATTTTCCTACACTGAAAATGTATTACTGACAGGATCTTACTTCTGCTCACACTTCCCACCCTTTCTTCCCACTGTCAACAAGTGTTCACATTTCTGCTTAAACTCGAAGTGATAGTTAGGTAGAATAGCATAGAGGGAGTCACATAGGTTTGTGGCACTACTATTGGTGGAGGTTTGTCGCATGATAATTTGCATGCAAGAATCAGTTAAACCATATGAATTGAGGAGTACATGGGAGAGAGAAGGTGGTGGCATGCACAGTTTTTTTTTGCAAATAGAGAGGCAGCACTAAATGAGAATAGCTATGTATGTGGACAGAAGTAAGTACCTTCAGAAATACATATTCAATGTTGGAAAATTATTATGGTTATTAGCTAAGAAGCAATGGGGTTGAAAGGGTGAAATATTTGTTATCTCCTTATAGAAGGGGTCCCAACACGTAGCTTGCAAGCAGCAAACTGTTTCAAGTGATTTATGACAGCAAATTGATTGAAACAGTAAATTGTTGCTGATCACGCAAATGAACTACTTTGCCAATAGCCCTGACATTATGTGCTCAAATTGCTTTGCCACACACACACACACACACACACACACACACATTTGAGTGGCTTTGTAAGATCTGCTTAAAGTATAGTCACATAGACCAGTGAATCAGCAATTTGGCTCACACCTTGTTTTTAGCGGTGCACAAAATGTTGGGGGTCTCTACTCTTGAGGTTTAACAGTTGTTTAAAAAAAATGTAGCCTACTTTAAAGAAGTGTAATATAGTCTGTTCTTAGGCTTAATTCTATGTTCTTAATTGTTTATATAATTTGCTATATGCCTAGGACTACTGTATGCAACTGAAACTATTACAGATTTGCACCAATTTATTGATTGGGTGTACTTCAGGAATTTCTAGATCATTCCTTGCATTTTTTCTTAACATTTTAGAAGGTTCAAACACAAGGAGTAGAGTGTGTTTACTGTGAAGCATGGTTAGTTACACAGAATGATGGGTGTGTTCAAGAAAGGTCTAGAAAATGAGTGGTCTTATCACTCAATATGAGAACTGATTATAATATTTCATTATTCCAACTATCCAAGTAACCAGAATATTGTCATTATTCTAATTCAATAGAAAATAAATTGTCGCATGATAATTTGCATGCAAGAATCAGTTATTCTTTCATCATCATTCTGATTTTTCCAAGCCAGTTCCCTTGGTTGTGGTTTCGCTAGATAGTAGATAGGGACAGTGGGAATCTCGTTAATCCTAAATTCTGATCTTTGTATCTTGCAAAACTTTACTCAATATGAGGACTGATTATAATATTTCATTATTCCAACTATCCAAGTAACCAGAATATTGTCATTCTGATTTCTCATAGTATTTTTGATCAACTGAAGGTTGTTCAGAATAATAAATTAGTGCCAAGACCCAGAAAAATTATCAGTTAATAGAAATTAGGGTTTCCATTTATTACCATTTTTAATTATTCCAATTATCCAAGTCTCGCATGAAAAAAATTGACTAGTTGAATGTAATTGATTATCAAATTCCATTAATTGTCCAATTGTAGAACAAATTTTTGAAAATTTTCCTGAATTTAGCCAATCAGTTTAAATTTTTTTTACAACATTAGCAAACTGCAGGAATTTATTTTAGTTATAGTTAAAAGTTTACAAATAAGTAGTACAGGTAGAATTAGAAGACAACATAAAAGTAGAGTGGAGTAATTGGTACTAATTTAAGTCTGGTTCTAAGAAACTGAAAATAATTGTGGAATTTAGGTACTTCTGATCTATGTGAAATGTATGTAAAAAGAAATTCCAAAATTATTGATACTTCAGATGTATAAGAAATAAAAATTGGTAGGTGCTAAATGTCAATAAAACATTGAGATCACTTATACAAGGAATCTGACACAAATATTTTACAAAAAAGTTAACACAAAAATATAGTATAAGAGGTCATGTCTTTATTGAGTAACCATCATTCTAAATATTCAGCTCTTTAAGGTGAAAAAATTTGTTATTCATTTTTTAATGTGTAAAGCTTTGAAAAATCTATCACCACAAGTATTCCATTCCAAAATGGTTATGTAAAATTAATTAAATAATTTTGACATAGTCTGCCTAATGGAGTACTTGTGGCGCTAGCTTAGATTTTCCAAAGTTTTACAGAACAAGAAAAAATGAATAACAGATTTTTCACATAAACATTTAATACAGTGTTTAAGTGATTCTAATTTGAATTTCATTATTTTATATGCATTCCTTAAGCCACGAAGTACTCCAACGTGTCTTATTTTTAGAGTTTATGATTTTAAAACTAAAGTCTTTAGGGGTAAGATACCAGTTTTTTTAAATATGTCAAATATATTTCATTATAGGTGTAAGTTGTGACTCTTGCATGAATGGTAACTTCAGAGGGAAAAGGTACAAATGTTTAATATGCTATGACTATGATTTGTGTGCCACTTGCTATGAAGCTGGGAGTGTAACAGCTCGTCACACAACAGACCATCCCATGCAATGCATTCTTACCCGTTCGGATTTTGGTAAGAAAGTACAGTAGAATTGCTTTGTGTTAGTAATATTATTAAAACTAACTCATTGGTTTCTGAACCTTTTTTGGTATTAGAAATGCGTTGTTCTTCACAAAAATATATTAAGGATAAACTATAATTCTACATTTAGGGGCAGGGAGTGTTTGTTTTCATCAACCATAATATAGTAAGTTCTCCAATATTGTTTATTCTTTTTCATCATACTCACATATGCAATGTATGCACACGTTACTACTCTGAGGTTATAATATAAATTGATTAGTGTCACTTATTTGATTATTTTAATTTTGGTTTCTAGATGATATGATGTTTCTGCTTTGCATTGACAATACATACAGTAACTGTATTGAAGTTCTTAAATTCCGGGTAATTCTGAAAATGATATTTTTACATCTGCACACGGTAGCTATTTCTTATGTTTTTTTTTTGAGAATTTGCATTGAGCTATTCCCACCTAAGACACGTGCTATAATGTGAAATGCACTAGTACATGATGTAATCATCATGCAACAGTAGTCCTCAATCAGTAGGAAGGCAACATGTATTTTACGCATAGTACATCTCTATAAGCACTTGCACTTGAAATTAACTTCATTTGTATCCTTAGTGCTGTCTTTAACAGGCATGCTTAAGTTTAACCTTAATTTCATAAGAGTTGCACTACCTTTTCAGAGTGTTAACTTTCTTTGGATTCCTTCCAGTTTGTTTTAACTTCAGTTTCAGGCTATATTCCCACTGAGTATTTTACATTTTTTAATCGGAGATTTGCTACAATAGGCATGAAATTTCAAGTGATGATGACTACTACCTCCTTTCAAAATTCTGGCAATGTTGCTAACACTGCTCCTACCTTGTCTATGGCCATTAGCAGATCTTTGACCGTGGAAGATGTTACTGCCATAGTTCATCATATCTGTGTAATACTTTGTTTCTTTACATATTGAGGACAGTGTTGATACTCCAAACCTCTGTGGATTTGATTACTTAGGCTTGTTCTTCACTTTTCTTTTCTCCTATGTCTTTTGATTCATTTTGTTTCTTACTACATGACTCTCATGCAAAGAATTATTTGGTTTTTCCTCCTTCTCCAAGCATACAACTCCATGTTTACACATTTCTGGATCAGCTTCATTTCCATTTATAAATGTCTCGCCTTTCTCAACTTCAGAATTTTTTCTCCATGGTATATGACTGTTCTCCTTTTCCATTCTTAGATACCTAACCCCTAGAGTCTCTTCTACCCACTTGAAGGACTGACAATAAATGTTCTGGAGCTCTTAGCTGTCCATTGGGTATGTTTCTATTTCCTCTTTCACCTTGTGGATCACTTGGTTATGATCCATTCCAAATATTCTATGGTCATTTATCTTATCAATTTTCAGGGTGGGACTTGCCCTAGGGCCCATTGCTTCTGCAAGTTGGCCTTTCTGTTTTGGGCCCACTCAAATCTGATTTGTTTGACAGTCTGCTATGTTTAGGAGCTTTGCACTTGGTGGTGGATCAGTTCTCTTGTTCAGGCAGGATTCTTATGGAGTGGTCACTGGTATTTCATCAGAGTTTTTCTAGTTGGGCACACTAATAATACAGGCCTGTGATGGTTTTATTGTCTTAAAATTTTTACATGTTCTACAGTAATTCCTCTACACTGAATCCAAAAATGATATCCATTTTTTCCATCACTTACAGATTTTTCACAAAAGTCATAAAAGAAAGACCATAACTAAAAGTTGTAGATTTCACAAAAAAAAATTTGGATGAATGAGAATGCATATTTGTTTGACATTAATGTTCTTCCCTTTTCTTCAGTTTGTTTGCATTTTTGTTGACAAACATAATAATAAAAATGTTCATTGTGGTTAAACACAATCTTCCTGATTTGTAAAAAATCCTTACATGATAGAAAAAATTAATATTATTTTCGAAATCTGCATAGCTGAATTGTGGAAAATCCATTATTAAAACCAAAACAACTTTAATGAAGTTTAAATTCGTAGGCCTGTGTAATTGATGCCTTTTTCAATACTCCCAGTATCAAACTTTCCACTCTTCTGGTCCCCTGTGCCTCACTAGGCTATGGATGCTTTCATGCAGGAGTAGTCTCATCTCTTTCTATATGTGTATCCTCATCATCATGTTCTTCCACATGTTTTGGCCTTAACTTGTAACACTTCTTGTTAGATCCTGTTGGTAGCACCTTTTTGGCCATCTCAGTCTTGGTTTCCTCTTTTTCAGAGATTGGCATCTAGGGTACATATTTTTCTGCCTCCATTTTGATTGCTCTAACTTCAACTTGATATGTCTCTATTTCACCTGGGAGCTTTGTTTTTGTGCATGGGATTTGTCTGGTACCTTGGTTGTGGTCAGGTTTCTCTGACTGCATAGCCCTTCTATTTATTCTGTTTTTTTACACCCTTGTACTTTCTCTGTCATGAATGAAAGTGATGTTTTTTCCTCTGCTGGTCCATTCATCTCTCTTTGACACCAAGCTTTATTACTGTTACTCACCTTTTGTTCTTCTTTACCTAGTTGTTTGACCTAGAATTGTCAGTTTCTACTATCACAGGCTGTTGAGCAGCCTTGTTGAATACATTTTTCCTTATTTCCTTTAGTTCTGTCTTTTCCTCCCTTGTTTTCCACTTTTTTCTTGTCCCTCTTTGTTCATCAGTCCTCTCATCCTATTCCTTTGCCCAACTGGAACCTTGATGTTGTTCTACGTGCTCTTACCCAGACACTGTTTGAACCCTTGGTCACTTTCTCTTTATACCATTTTCCTTTTCTTTCTTGCTAGTGGTTGTCACAGATCTGATCTTTATGCATTGGATGCCTCTTTTACTTTAATTTACAGATTTTTCTTGATTTTATTTCCTAACCACTCTTTTCTTCCTAAGACTTGGGCAGCTTGGGAGGAAAATCATACTTATACTCCCATTTCTTTTCCATCAGTCTTGGTTCTCTATGTTTGCACTGAACTTGATTGCCATTTTTATTCAATTTGGGCAGTCTGGTGTTACATGGCATGTATGATTCAATTTTGGAATTCCCACAATCATTTATTCTTGCCACTGAACCCCTCTTCTTTCAGAGATCTCTCCTCAATTCTCACTGGATGAATTTTTCAACTCCTCTGTATCACCTGTTTCTCCCTGGATGCTCTCATGCTTTATGATGTCTCATCACATGAAATCCACCACTTGACTCGCTCTCTGACCTTGCACTTTTGGTGCCTCTTGAACAAGATCCTCCAGGCTAGATTGTTGACTATACACAACACTTTTGTTTTCCATTAGCTCTAACATCTTGCTGTTTTGTCTCTTTGTGAATTTTGCTTCTCTCAATTGCCATTCTCTTGTTTACTCAATGTCTTTAATGAGTTAGTGCCTCTTTTATTTCCTTACCTGTTTATAATATACTTTCATTCACTACTTGGAACCCACCCAGTGGTTGGCATTGCTTCGCAGTGTATACTTACTTCCCTAAACCCACATCAAGTCAGGAATAACAGAATGTGTTAAATCCATTCACCCCAGCTCCTAAATTGGCCATTGATTAGATGGGATTTTCTACAAGACCACTACAGTGGTACAGATTTATATTTCATTTGTCCATTCCAGATCATACCTTCTAGAGACTATCAATGGAAAATGCCAACACTGGAGGAGAATCTCTCCACTTTCCTGGCTTGCTCATGCTGGCTTTTCAAATTAGGTTTTGTGGTAACCCATTGTATTTTCTCCAGTAAAAGACCTTTGTCACTGAGTGGAGCATAGGAGGTCTTTGCCACTACCAGTTCCTATCCACTAGGATGGTCAACTTGGAGAATTCCTCACTGGTTGTGCAATCCTTCTAGAGAGAGTCTGCATAAGCAGCACAATTTGGTGATAGGCAGGGCAGAGGTATCCATGTCAGTGTAGTGCAGGTCACCCCATATTACATAATATGCTAATTTCTTAATGGTTTGGTCATGCAACAAAAAGGAACATAGTCCTCATTCCTGTATGTAAGGTGATTAAATTGTACACCAGAACACACATCAAACTGTACATTCTGATCATTTTCATTGCCACACTACATCACATATTCTACCAACCTGTTGTATGCACATGCTCAGCTGGTCATAGTAAGCTATAGGGTGTCACACTCCATGGGCTTCACCATTCAGTTGCCTTCTCCGAAGGGAGCTCATCTGGGTTTTGAAGTTTTATCAGCCTCTTCACCATATCATTGTGGGGTTCTAGCTGCTGTGTGAAGAGAGGTAAGAATATTTTTTGGAAGTTAACATTTTTCTTACCTGAAAATGTATTTCTGATAGATACCTTTCAGCACATATTTCCACCCTTCCTACCCACTAAAGGGACACATTATTCTTGCCTCATCTACAAATGAAGTGAATTTCAAATGTAAGTGCTGATTTGGATCTACTGCACATGGATAATGTGTCAGCTTCTATTGGTGGAGATCTATCATCACATGATGATACATTGTGCACCAAAGCAGTTCACATTATAACAATTGTCTTAGTTGGGAGATAGCTCACTGCTAGTGGCATATGCAGAACTTCAAAGGCAAATATGTTGAGTAATGGCTATTGTGTGCAGAGAAGTAAGTATCTGTAGAAAATACATTTTTAGGTAAGGAAAATGTTAACTTTCAGTGCTATATAGATATACACACACATGCATACTTAGTGAATCAAGGTATCTTGTTTGGGTGGTAGTAATCATCAAGGTAGCATCAATGTATCCTAGAAAAATGAATAAATAATTAAAACTGTTTATATGTATATACAATAAATATGCTGTAGATTATATTTTTGAGGTAATATAAAGGAAGAAAACAATTAATTTATTAGGTGGCAATATATATATATATATACATCTATCTTGTTTCATTGAAGTGTTTTACTTGAAAATTGTTTTTTTGTTTTTTCATATACTAAATGTAATTTACTGTTAATTTTTCTCTATCATCTAAATTACATGTCATTATGTCAAAAATCATAACTACTGATAAGAATAAATAAAAGGCTTTAACTTTAACTATCATTGGTGAGAAGTCTGGTATTATTATTATTATTATTCTAGATGTTTATTATGGAGGTGAAGCTGTGTCTGTTGACCAGCCTCAAGCATTTGCCTGCCCATTTTGTGGAAAACTGGGGTTCACTGAAGGTACATTACAAGAACATGTTACCTCAGAGCATTCTGACAGTTCACTTGAAGTGGTATGTTTTTTTTATTGATTATTTTACATGTTTACTTATTTGTATTTGTGATGCTGATTGTCAAAAGATGTGAAAGTATTGAACTTGTTGGAACAGAAAAGTAGTTTTATTAGTGAGTGTGGTCATACCAAATTACTTAACCATTTACATTATCTTGAGAAAAATCATCATATTGATGATTAATTTTTAGAATTATTACATTCAATAAGATCCTTCCACTTGTTAATTTTTTAACTTTTAAATTAGTAAAGTAATAAAACATTTTGCTAAGTAATGGTGGATCAGTGTTTACACAGGTTATGAAAGTCATAAAAAGTCATGGAATTTTTTAAACAAAGAGTGGGTTCCAATAAGAGTTATTTTGGCACTAAAATACATTGAACAATAAAGTATTGAGAAAGGAAACAGTAATTGTTGTTTTCTGATACCAGACTACCTTCTACCAAGTCAATATGGTATGCAAATTATGGGAAATGCAGCACACAAGCTTGATTTTAACAGCATTCATATATTGTACCACCATAATATTTGCACAATGTATATAATGGAACAGAAAGCATATATATATATATATATATATATATATATACACACACAAAAATAGAATATTGTATATATATCTGCTTATAGTGTAAGGACAATAAATATGTCATTCCAGATTCTGATAAATGCAGTAAGTGTGACATCTCTGACATTATATATATATATATATATATATACATTCTGGTATTCATCATACTGTTACATCTAATATTCATACTTGTTTTTTTTCAAGATTTACCAACAGACATGCCTAATTATGGAAAATGTGTAATTGTTTCACTGTCATTCATTTTTGGATACTATTAAATCATAGAGGTGGCAGGGTGAAACAGTAGTCCTAGTGACATTAATGATTAAAGTTCTAGTGACAATATAATATGACATTGTTCATTTGAACATTTCACACCATGCTTTATGTTTTATATAGTTGTGCTTTCTGCGTGTTACAGAAATAAAAATGTGATTTTATGTGTGTGTTTCTTCCTCAGTTTCTCCCTAATAATACCCTGATCATTTAAACAAAAGGTTTGCTTATTGTTTGGTATATGTCACAATATCATGTTCTACCAGTGATTGAAATTCTTAGTAATGACCAAAAACAGCTCTCTTGCAGACCCATCCTTTTTAAGTGCTGTAACTCATTCAAAATCACTGGGTTTTTTTCAACAGGTTTTGCATAAGTCTTTGAAAGTCTAACTCCATCTCTCCCACATTCCCTATTTTTATTGACAACAAGCCATATCATTGTGTTTATCTCAGTTTTGCAAAAAACATTCTCTAAAAAATGTGTATAGTAAAATGGGAAATGCACTTACTTGACAACACTGATCAGTAACAGGTTTTGAAGTATGTCTCCATCTGTAAGCCAACGGGTGTCATGCGACCATTAGTATAATAATGTTGTTTCCATGAAATAAACTCAAGACTCATTAGATAGAAATCTAAAATAAAAAATTTTTCATAGGATAAATAAACATAGACATTTCAGAATTTTCCTAATTCAAAAATAATTAACAGTGTTTCTAGCGTAAGCTCTTACTTAGTTATTGCACAAAATTTTTTAATAAAAAGAGTGAGAGATGAATGCAAATCAAAATGACAACATTATAATAGAATGAGTGTCATAAACCTAACTGGTGTGCATGAAATAGTCAGATATTTACTATTAAAGACGTATATCTGACTAGGTTATGTGTTATTTACATAGTTGTTAATATAAACATATAGGCCAAGATATTTTCGGCTCCATTGCTAGATATTTTGAGTACAATCTTCTTTTTAGGGACAGTTAGAATTGTAAATACAGTATTGTGATTTGTGTTATTTTTATTAATTTGTTTCTTTTTTTTTATTATTATTATTATCTTTCAGGTCTAAAATGAATAAAATTCTTAAAAGACTGGATCATGATTTGACTTGTAACATCATAGCCTATGGCGAATGATATACATGACAGCATGGTTAGAAAATAAAATATTAAGAACTTTTTCAAATATTCAGATCAGGTAGACTTACTTCTGAAATACTGAAAACCTTTTCTTGTCTTGTTTGTACTTATGCTGTCAACAAAACCTTAGACTTAACATTTTTGAATGTCCTTTGTGCGTTGCAGAGCATGTGCCACTTACCCATAATTCTCCACTCTTACACTTATTGCACAAGCATAAGGGGATGATTGTCATAAGCTCTGCTTTTATGCACCTATCAGCTTTTATATAACTTCATTGCAGAACTTATGAAATATGCTTATGGCATGCAGAATGAAATTGTCAGCATTGATGGGTCAACATATTATTTGTGATGTTGTGTGATTGATTACTCAATTATCTGTGAGCATAAAGTATGTCATTTAGTGTCATGTAAAATAATCTATTGATCAAAATTATGATTAACTTTATCCATACAATTGGGAATGAAGTGTGCATATCACAACCTTTTTTACAAGTTGCATTCAAAATTTAATTAAACAACTTTATTATCAGTGTATGTCAGTAAAACTGGCATCAAAAAATAGTTTATAAATCAAATGTTAGTAATATATAAGATTTAATTTCTTAATGTGAAAGGAAATATTTAAATAAATCTTCATTCTTTAGTTCTCTTTATTGTAACAAGTCTTTGCTCTGAATTGCCCATTTTAGATTTTCTTTCTACCCCTGTATAATCTAATGTTGGCACAAATATAACACTTACACTGAGTGGTCACAAGTAAATAGACCCCTAATTTTTCGTCATTTAACTGATTTATGCTAACTAATTTGTGTT